CCAATAGCAACGCCGGTCGCGTCCCTTCGCCCCGCCCACCGCGGTTAAAGGAGACGCGGCGCCTCGGCTATTTGCTCCCCTACCGGAAGCAGAGCTGTAGGGCCGGCTCCACGGCCTCCGCTCCAACCTTTGCCAGGCCAGGCGGCCTGTGGACGGCGCCGCCCAAGGCCTCTGGCCACCGACGCTCATCCTCCCTGAGAATTTCCAAAGCCCTGGCCGGAGGCGTTCGCCCCACCCGCGCGTAGCCCGTTTACCGAGCCGGCGAGCACAGCTTGCTGGGAAATGCAGTTCCAAGACGGCCGCCACCTGACGTCTGGAGGAAACTGGGACTACATTTCCCAAGATGCCTTGAGGGCGAGATTGAGAGCCCGGGATTCACCACCGGCGGCGAAAGCCGGAAGAATCCCGGAAGTGAGTTCTGGTCTGTTTACCCTCTTAAAGCGCTCGGTAGGCTGGGTTTTCGCTCAGCACCTTAGTAAGAGCCAATTCTTCGCCCTCCGGGAGTTCCTTAATGGCTCGCTCCTCCGAACGCGCTGGAAACAAATGCCGATTTAACAAACACACCGGTCGCTTGGAATCTCGCCCGTGGAGTGGAGAGACGCGGGTTCCGTACTCAGTGCTCCCCGTGCTTCGTGTGTGACCTCGGTGGAGGGAGGGTGGGGGGGAATACCTCCGCTCTGTGGGCCTCGGTTTCCCCACTTGTAATGTGAGGGAGTGTGGTGCGCCTGGCCCTGTCTGGACTCTTCAGCCCTGCGAAGCCCTTTGTAAATTAATTACATGCTCAAAAGGGACGGAGACAGTCCAGGGGCCTGGCCGCCAGAGGCCGTTGCTGCCCGCTTTCTGCTGTGGGGAAGCCAGGCCTTCCTACCGCACCGCACTGCCCGCATCTCCCCACCTGGAACTGACCTGGACGGGATGTTCTGCAAGATTCGGGAAACCTCTACAGGCGAAACAATGCCCCGCCTACAGAAAAGTTTTATGAGTTTATTTCAGCCACCATGTTCCAGGACGTGCCTGGAAGCAAAATCTCAGCGGATGGAGAAAATGCTCGGAGAATGGCAGTACTGCGGCTAGATTAGTTTATACATCAGTGATAGATCCTCCCTTCCCCCAACTGGTAGGCGGAGTATGACGTAACCTGCAGCCCAGAAATACCTGAGTGACTAACCAGGTACCTTATATGGACTATACATTGGACCACCAATCCACACCTGCCAAATACCCTAAACCCTTGTCCTATATGGACAATGCAGTAAGCCACCAATCAGTGTGCGCCGAGTACACTAAGCCCCCCACCCCTTCCCATTCCGCCCCTCAAAAGGCGTGCCCACCCCTGCACGTGCTGCTGTTCTCCCCTTGCGAGACAGCCCAGCAGGTCCTTCTCTAATAAAGCCTGTAGTCCTGGTTTTAGGCCTCTGTCTGATTTTTCCATCAGAATCAAAGGAGAAGACGTTACCTGAACTCCACTGGAGGTAGATTAAAGAAGCGGGAGAAAGCAAAGTGGGGAAATCTCTGGGATTGGGTAAAAAGGAAAATGCAAAAGCACACACTTCTTTGACATTGGTGGGTACAGGATAATTAATTCACTTTCCCAGTAAATAGGGATGGTGTGCAGGCCAGGAGATGGCAGGGCGGGTGGGCCTGTGCTCCGGTACCTGCAGTTGTGCCTTGCAGAGATCTGAAAAAGAAAATTACTCTGAAGCCCTGGCCAGGTGGCTCGGTAGGTTGGAGCGGCATCCTGTGCACCAAAAGGTTGCTGGTGCCATTGCCTCAGGGCACATGCCCGGGTTGTGGGCTCAATCCCCTGTAGGGGGCCTGCAGGAGGCAGCTGATCGATGTTCCGCTCTCACATGGATGCTTCTCTTTCTTCCCCTCTCTCTAAAATTCAATAAAAATATTTATATATAAAAGAGAAGCAACCAATGAGTGCATAAATAAGTCAACAACAAATTGGTGTTTCCCTTTCTCTCTCTAAAATCAATAAATAAAATTTAAAAAATAATAATTTCAAAGGTATATTATCCTAGATGCATAAGAACAAGGGACAGGCTCACTTAAGGCCAAGATTGACATTTGCTCAGGAAGCTATAGGCCTGGGATGTGACTACCTGCCATGGCCTGCCCAGGTGGGAATTTATGATCAGACCATCCTGTGTGGTTCCTTTCCGCCGCTGAAGTTGTCGGGACTCCCATGTTGCCCTTCCTCCCCCCATAGCTTGTCAGGCTCATGACATAGCCCCTTTGTTCACACTTCCATCACTTCCCCTGGGCAGGCTGGCTTGGTCAGATCCCAACACTGATGAGGACCCAGCCAGGCCCTGATTGTTTCTGACCACATCCGAGGCCGAAGATGGTGTTTACTGGGCCTGCAAACCAGAGCCCGATGCAATAGGCTCAGAAACTGGCACGTGCACGGAGCTGGACTGTGGGGGAATAGGTCTCCTTTGGACCTGGAAGATCTAGGGCCAGACACAAGAAACAGAACCACATGGGGTCCAGTCTTCACCGTGATGCGGCATGGAATTGGTGCCTTGATGCTAGAAATGTTCAGGCTCATTTTACTTAGGTGCGATGGCATTCTCCTTAAAGCAAGTTGCGTATCACTCACACCCAGAAGTTGTTCACTGTCCAAAGGATGACGCCCACGCCCTGGAGCACCCTCATCTACAGGAGCTTGTAGCCTGCAAAGCTGAATTTGGGGGAACCCTTCTGGAAGATGCTTTCCAAACGTCAGGCCTGCTCAGAGGAGAGACACCGGGAGATTTTCCTCATCCTCCCTTGTCTTTCCGCGTCCCACTACCTCTGTCCTTGCTCATCAGGGTGGAGGAGCAGGGCCGCCCCACCCTCTCTTGCTCATTTATTCTCCAAAAAATGCAGAGGTTGACTCTGCCAACATCACACAGACAACCCAGCATCCGCCACTGGCACAACCTGCATAGGCCAGGGTTGGTGCCTCCGCTTTTATTTTTAACAAAAGAATTAGCCATTTACATGCATAAACATTAATATTTCAAGAAAAAAGATTTTAAATATTACCAAAACTATACTAACAGTATAATATCACAAAAGTTGTAGGAAATACTAAAAATCTGCAAATCACAGGATTACTTCTATTATATTCTAAAATATTTTTTTCCTCTGGCTCTATTTTTGTTCATCAGTCTATGTTGTTCACTATATTCCACAAATGAGTGAGATCATGTGGTAATCTTTCTCTGACTGGCTTATTTCGCTTAGCATTATGCTTTCCAGGTCCATCCATGCTGTTGCAAATGGTAAGAATTCCTTCTTTTTTACAGCAGCATAGCATTCCACTGTGTAGATGTACCACAGTTTTCTAATCCATTCATCTGCTGATGGGCACTTAGGCTGTTTCCAGATCTTAGCTATGGTGAATTGTGCTGCTATGGACATAGGGGTGCACATATCCTTTCTGATTGGTGTTTCTGATTTCTTGGTCTATATTCCTAGAAGTGGCATTACTGGGTCAAATGGGAGTTCCATTTTTAATTTTTGAGGTGCCTCAACTTTTTGACTGAGCACCCCCCACCCCATGCCTCCTCCATCAGACTGGACTCCATTTCTGACTAAGGCCTCCGTGTTGAGGGGGGCTTCATGTTGGAGGAACCTCAATGTGGAGGGACCTCCATGGGGAGGGGGGCCTGGAAGACAGCTTCTTTTCAAGCGCCCTTGTGGCAGGGAGGTCTCTTTCCTGGTACAAAACCCACAGACAGTCTCCAATAGGAGAGCCTCCTAACCTGTCATCATTCCTAGAGCCCCCTGCCCAAGGGCCAAGGCGACCAGGGGGTGGGGCCCAGAAAGCAGGAGGAAAGGCAGGGATGACACTGCCCACGTGGCCCAGCCCCCTCCCCCGCCCCTCCCGGTCTGTGCTCTCAGGTCGCACCACCTGCAGGGGGCAGGGCAGCGCAGCGCAGGCCTGGGCCAGGCTCAGGCAGACCTAAGGGTGAATCCAGGCCCTGCCTCCTCCGGGCTGGGTGATCTAGCAGGAGTCATCCCACCCCTCCCAGCCTCCAGCCCAGTGGTTCTCAACCTGTGGGTCGAGACCCCTTTGGCGGACAAATGACCCTTTCACAGGGGTCGCCTAAGACCATCCTGCATATCAGATATTTACATGACGATTCATCACAGTAGCAACATTACAGTTATGAAGTAGCAATGAAAATAATTTTATGGTTGGGGGTGACCACAACATGAGGAACTGTATTTAAAGGGCCAGAAGGTTGAGAACCACTGCTCCAGCCTCCGTGTCCTCAATTGTAAATCAATCACAATAACCCTCCACAGCGGGGGAAGGATTCCATGCGCTGCTCCGTCAGCCAGAGCTGATGTTGGGCTGCCCTGAATCCAGGTGACTCCTGACAGGCCCTCAGCCGCATCACACACCTCCGCTCTGAAGACCTGGCCCACGCTCCCTGCCTCCGCCCCCCGCCCCCCCCGCGGAGTCCTCGCTGTCCTCTGGACAGAGGTGCCCGCACACTCCCGTCTCAGGCCTCTTGCACTGGCCATTGTCCCAGCGTCCACTCAGCTCAACCCATCGCTTCCAGCGGGACTGTGTTCGAACATCACCTCCTCAGTGCAGCCTTCCCCGGCCCCCTCCTGAAAATGCCCACCGCCTTCCCCTGTCCCTGCTTTATTTTGCACCAGCGACAGATCGCCACCGGACACACTGGGCTGTCGGTTCGCTGACTTCTCCCCTGCGAATGGCAGCTCTGGGGAACAGATGCAAGCACACGGCTGCACCCAGGACAGGGCCTGGACAGAGCGGGGCGCAGGACATATTTGCCAAGTAAATGAATGAATCATGACAGGATTGCCCATAGATTGCAGTGGGGTCTGTGATGGGCAGGACTCGCTCTCCGCTGGAGGGAAGGGGGAGAGGTGAAGGTCACAGGAAAGGCTTCTTTGAAGGAACAGAGAGGTCTGACCTTCAGCACACAAGGCACACAGGTGTAGGTTGACGGGAGAGAGGCAGAGGGCAGTTCCCATGCAGGCAGCAGCCCAGACAAAGGCCTGGCGACAGGACTAACTTGTCGTGTCTGGGGAGCAGGGTCCAAGCTGGTGGGCTCAGGAGGAAGGCTGGATAGTAAGGCCCAAGGTAGACAACACGTATGAAGACCAGTCCCGAAGGGCAGGGGCCACCCGTCCCCTC